TGGCTTTTTTTTTTTTTTTTTTTTTTTTTTTTGGGACAAGGTCTCACTATGTCATTCAGGCTGATCTTTAACTCACTGTGTGGCCCAGGCTGGCCTTGAACTCATGGTGATCCTCCAGCCTCAGCCTCCTGAGTACTGGGATCACAGGTGTGCCCCACCATGCCTGGCACAAGTATACTTTTTGATAAATATTTTTGCCATTAATCTGACTATCCTGCTGCTTGTCCTTTTCTGTTGGTTCTTATACTAATTTGTTTCAGAGGAGCTTTTGCTCTTGCTGGAATTATAATGTATTATAATATGTAAGGGAGGAGTGTTCCACAGAGAATGACAGAATCGCATGCGTAACAGTCTCTAATCGGTAACAGTCTCTAATCGGACGCTGCCGACCCTTGAAGGCAGGCCTGTGAGGAGGTGTGTGACACCTCAGCCCTGAGGCCACCACACGGAACAAATCCCTTTTGTTAAAGGCAGCTACCCAACGTTTTCTTACTTATTGTGACTTACTGTTACTTTTTCTTTCTCATATTATCATCTAGTGGTGTGACTTTATTACAAAACTCTAGAACACTCACCCAGTGAGGAAGATCTAGATTCTCTAATCTAGTTTCTGGAACTCAAGAAATGTCCATGATGTGGGGGCATCAGTTAAAGTGTATCATGTGCACTGTGAGCACGTACACAGCTGCGGAAATTTGACTTCTGGTAATCACGTCCCACCAGAACAGAACTTTTGAATGCACCAGTCCTGAATTGCGATGCAGAATTGTTTACTGATTGGTCACCTAGGAAATATAAAAAGTGACAATATGAAGCTTGATAGAGGTAGTCCATTCTTATAGATTCTAATTCCTCACCAGAAGTCAAATTGTTCAAATTATTTAGTTAGGGTATATCAAATAATGCAGAGAAAAAAGTAAATATACTGACAGCTGGTATGCTTTTAAAATAATTTCTTTATTCTATCCTCGGTACCAAAATAAACAAATAATAATTTCTTTAAAGGGCTGGGGATGTAGCTCAATGGCCCTGCATCTGCCTTGCAAGTGCAAGGTCCTGAGTTCAATCCCCAGTAGCGGGGGAAAAATAATTTCTTTCAAAACTATTTTTGAAGGACTGCTAGCTGGGTATGGGGCACACCTGTGATCCCAGCACTTGGGAGGCTGAATTGAGACTTCAAGACCAGTCTGGGTTACACAGCGAGACCATGTCTCAAAAACAAAACAAAGGGCCTGGGATTTAGCTCAGTGGTTCCACCACTACCTTGCAAGTGCAAGGTCCCGAGTTAGATCCCCGGTACCAAAATAAAGCAAAACAAAAAATCCTCTTAATTTCTTCATAGATACTCTAAAAGTAAACAAAGGTAAAGCTAGAGCGTGGTGGTACTTGCTCATGATTGAAGCATTCTTGGAGGCTGAGGTAGGAGGATCAAAAATTTGAATCCAGCCTGGGTAACATAGTGGCTTAGTGAACTCTGTTTCAAATCAAGGGGACCAGGTCTGGATGTAGAGCCATGTGCAGGCTCAATCCCCAGTACAAAAGAAGACAAGTAGCCCCACACCTGGGCATCACCACTGACCCAGAAAGGACGGCTGCCCGGGGGCTAGGACGCCTGGGTTCTCACCATCACTGTCTTGTGAGAACTTATGAGAAATCCTCAGCCCATGTTATAAGATGATGCTGGACGCAGGTTTCTGCTAGTTCTATCCCTGCTGACCTCATTATCCATCCCAAGGAGCCTTGAGCCTAGCCTGTGGACCCCGCAGCCACTCGCCTCTGGCACACGTGGGGCAATCCATGGACAAGCAGCTCCAGGGAGGAGACCAGCCGTCCGGGCTTATCCAGCTCCTCCCCGGGACTGCCTTGGGATTGAGCCAGCCCTTGAAGAGGCCTCCATTCCCCCACCTCTCCTGGCTCTGGGATGGGGGTCATGCCTGGCTGGGCTCCAAGATAAACTTTCCCAAGCCAAAAGATAACCCGATATCAAGGTGAAGATTAGCTTTAAAAGGCCTCCTCATTCTCCTCGCACTCTGTCCTGCTGCGGCACTCCTGTGGTCTGTCCTGCCTGCTGACACCAGCCACCATGTGGGAGTTTGTGGCTTTCTTGGGGCTCATCCTAGTCTGTTTCTTTTGGCCCAGACAAAGGTCTCCTGGCACCAAATACCCAAAGAGCCTCCCATGTCTCCCCATAGTGGGCAGCCTGCCGTTCCTCCCCAGAAGCGGCCACATGCACATCCACCTGTTCAACCTGCAGAAAAAATATGGCCCCATCTATTCCTTTCGTTTGGGCTCCATAACGACAGTGATCATTGGCCACCACCAGCTGGCCAGGGAGGTGCTTGTCAAGAAGGGGAAGGAATTCTCTGGACGGCCCCTGACAACGGTAAGAGGCGTCCCTGTCTCCCCTCCCGCCTACCCCGCCAGCCTGTAGACTAAGAGGAAGAGTGAACGTGAGGCCCAGGGGCCGGGGAGCCCTCACCCTATCACCTCACCCTTGAACTGGATGAAAAACCCTCAGAGAAGCTGGGGAGAGACCGCATAGCCCCGGCCCCACAGGAGTGTTCAATGCAGAAACAGTCAAATGTTACTCTGCGACAAACGGGAGCAGAGGTTTTCCTCATGGGAAGGGGTCAGGGAGAAGCATCCCTGCTCTTAGCAGGCTGGGACAGCCATCTGCCCAGAGTTGTCCTGTGGCTCATGGGGGGTGGCTCAGGTGGCATCTGGGGCTTGCTACTGGTAAGCCATTCCAGATGCGCGCCCACACACCCACCCCTGCACAGCCAGGCGGGACCCTGGCCTCAGCTCTCATTGGACAAAGCTGCCTGCTCCTTCTTAAACATGTCTGCCTGAGGGGCTGGCCAGCTCACCTCTGCATGCTCCTCTGAGGAAGCTGGCTGCGCTTGTGGGTCAGAAGGTGGAGGAGAGAGACTTGGGTCTGTCGGTGCCGCTGTTCCTCCAGGAGGAGACAGCGAGGCCCAAGACCAGCTTGGGTATGCAGAACTCGAGTACTCTCCAGACAGGGCCTGTGAGTGGGTGTGCAGCTGTGTGCTGAAAAGTGAGCGGCAGTGAGACAAGCTGAGCCTTTGGGAGCACTCAGAGGTCTCACAGCTTGCTGTTCCTTGCCCTCAGGACAGGCATAGTTCAGAGAGCTTACCCTGTCCACACCAGCTCCATCCTGCTCAGGAACTCATGATGAGAGGCATGTAGAGGTCACCCTACCAGCGAGCGAACCCTAGGCCTCCCAAGCTCTCACTCAAGGTCCTACTGGAGTCAGGAGGGGCCTTAGGGCCTGTCCTACCATGATCTTCCAGTCCGGGCAGAGAGGAGCAGGCTGTCCCCATATGGGCCAGCATGCCAGCTACTTGCCTTCCCCCCAGGAAGAGGAAGGGGCTCAGGAGGGTGGGGCAAGTGTGTGGGTGGGTGGATGGGGCGTAACTCCTACAGCCTATCCTACTCTCCAAAGCCCAGTGTAGCCCTCTTGTCAGACAAAGGGAAGGGCATCGCCTTCGCCGACTTCAGTGCCTCATGGCAGCTGCACCGGAAGCTGGTACTGAGCACCTTTTCCCTGTTCAGGGATGGCCAGCAGAAGCTGGAGAACATAAGTAAGTGCTGGGGCTGGAGAGCGGAGCGAGAGGGGAACAGGGAGGGCCGGGAGGCCTGTGGACAGTGCGGTCCAGTCTTTCCCTGGTGACTGCTGCCATCTCGTGGCTGCCTGGGATCCGGGCCCCGCCCTGGCTGAGAAGCTGGCAGGGCCGAGGTTACTGGCTCATCACCCCGCCTTCCACCCCTCTCTCCTCAGTATGTCAGGAACTCAGTGCCATGTGTGACCTTCTGGCCACCCGCGATGGACAGGACACAGATTTGTCCGCGCCAGTCTTCACAGCGATTGTCAACGTCATCTGCATGATTTGCTTCAATACCTCATACAAGATCGGCGATCCAGAGTTGGTGACCATAAAGACCTTCACTGAGGGCTTTGTGGACAACGTGAACAACAACAGCATGGTGGACATATTCCCCTGGCTGCAGGTGAGGACGAGGCCAGGTGCCCGATCCCCGCACCCCACTCTTCCTCCTTTGGCTGCCCACTCTAGACCCACACTTTTCCTAAGCACTCCACCCACGTGCTCTCTCCTGCTCTGCCATTCTACACACCTGGCTCTGGCTTTTCGTGTATCTCAGTACTCTTGATGGTGACTCTCACTTGTTTTTCATCTGCCATGTGCCGGGATTCAGCATTCTGTGCACCTTCATCATTTGATTCCTGATGGGGATGTGGTCCTGTCACCACTGTACACTGGAAAACAGATGCGAGCAGGTTAAGCAGCTTGTTCATCTTCAGACTCGTCTATCACTTATTTTATTTGGGGGGTTGTAACAGTGATTGAACTCACTGCCTTCACACTGACCTACATCCCCAGCCTATTTATTTGTGTAATGATAGGGTCTCACTAAATTACCAAATTGTGCAAGCTGAGCTTGAACTTGCAGTCTTCCTGCCTCAGCCTCCCAGGTTTGGGGGGATTCCAGGCATGGCCACAATGACCCGTGCTCTGTCCTCGTCTTGCTTCCACTGCGGCTGAAGCAGGGCTGGGTGGGAGCTCTCCTGAGACAGAGAGCTCGGCTCAGCCCCCGGGAGGGGTTCTCAAACCTGGAAAAGAAGTAGAAGAGGGGTGGACTTCGCATTTCTTTCTGCTCCCCAGATTTTCCCCAATAAAGCCCTAAAAATTATAAGGCAACATCTTAAAGAGCGAGATGCTATGCTGAGGAAGAGGCTGAAAGAGCACAAGGTAGGTGACGGCGCGCACAGAGTCGGTGAGCCCCACAGCGGCAGGGCGCAGCTGGACCTCCAGAGCCCAGAGCTAGCGGGGAGAAGGTGCCTGGGAAGATGGCTTAGCTGATGAGCGGGACTGGGAAAGCGAGGGACTGAAGGGTCTCTAGGAGGCATGCATGCACCCCAAACTCAAAGCGGGCCCAGGTTGTCTCCCCATCCTCCCACAAGCTTCGGGTCCTGGCCAGGCCCACCCCACCGCACTAGTGTAGGGCAGGAAGGCCGCAGCTGGGTCTTCCCCTTCTTACTGTCTCTGCACTTCTCCAACGCAGGAGAAATTCAGAAGTGACTCTGTCACCGACCTGACAGACCTACTGATCCAGGCCAGGGTGAATGCAAACAATAACAACTGTGACCTAGAAGAGGATTCAAACACACTTTCAGATAAGCACATTCTCACCACCTTAGGGGACATCTTTGGGGCCGGCGTGGAGACCACCACTTCCATTGTGAGTTGGATCATAGCCTTGCTGATACACAACCCTCAGGTGAGCTGCCCCATTCCTGGCTTCCCCTGCACCCCGAGCCCGCCCCGCCAACCCCATGCGCCCATGTGGGGAGAGGCTGCAGGGAAGCGGGGCCTGGCTGAGACCCACATGCGGCCTTGGGCTCATGCATGGATCCCACGCACCTCGCTCTGGCCCTCAGGTGAAGAAGAAGATCCAGGAGGAGATTGACCAGTATGTGGGCTTCAGCCGCATGCCGACTTTCAATGACCGGAGCCATCTGCTCATGCTGGAGGCCACCATCCGAGAGGTCCTCCGCATCCGGCCCGTGGCCCCGGTCCTCATCCCGCACAAGGCTGTCACCGACTCCAGGTACCCCTCCCACAGCGCCGCCCTAGGTACTGCCATCAGCCCAGCCGGTGTGTCCACCACTCTGGCCCCCGCTGCCCGGTGCACAGATCGGCCGAACTCTCAGAAGCCACGTGGGGTGGAAGCCCAGGGCCCGGTGAGGCACTGAGAGCACACGCGCACACCCAGACACACACACGTGTGCACACATGCCCACCCCTGCCCTGTCCCGGGACCCAGTGCCTGTCCAGGAGCAGCTGGTTCAGACTGACCCAGGAGGAAGCTGAGGGAAGGAGAGGGACTGGGAGTGGGGGCTCCTTCCCCAGGGAGGGCCACGGGAAGGCGGGCAGGCACCCTAACCCTGCTGCCCTCTCCTCTCCACCTCTCTCCGGCGGCGGCAGCATCGGGGAGTTTACCATCGACAAGGATACAAACGTGCTTGTCAATCTGTGGGCTCTGCATCACAGTGAGGAGGAGTGGGACCGACCAGACCAGTTCCGGCCTGGTGAGTCTGCTCCTGAGCCTCCTGTCCGGGGTGCCTGGCGTGGCCTGCACTGTCACCCACGCGCCTCCCCTCCACCAGGTCGCCTGACCTGTGGCAGACACCCCCACACCCTCACACTGGATCCCACGCTTTCCCTCTGTCCTCCTGGCCAGTGGCACCCTCGTCGTCTCCCTGTCCTTCCTGCACCCTCTGTCTCACGTAGGGCCACTTGAGGGCTGGGCCTGTCTCTCCACAGAGCGCTTCCTAGACTCAGCGGGGAGCCAGCTCATCACCCCGTCCTTGAGCTACCTGCCCTTTGGGGCTGGGCCCCGCTCCTGCGTGGGGGAGGCCCTGGCTCGCCAGGAGGTCTTCCTCTGCATGGCCTGGCTGCTGCAGAGGTTCGACTTCGAGGTGCCGGAAGACGGGCAGCTGCCCTGCCTGGAGGGCATCCCCAAGATGATCTTTCTCATTGACCCCTTCAAAGTGAAACTCACGGTGCGCCAGGCCTGGAAGGAAACCCGGGCTGAGGGAAGCACCTAGAATTGGCACCGGCCACCCAGACGCAGAGGTGTGTGCGGTGTGCACACAGCTGGAGGCGCAGCTCCCACTGCCTCCCTCTTTTGCCTGCAGCATCGGCAGGCGATGTGCATAAACAGCAGTGTTTCAGGCAGGGGATTTAGCTCCGTGGTTGTGGTGACTGCCTCGCAAGCACAAGGACCTGAGTTTGATCCCCAGTACCAAAACAAAACAAAACAAACAAACAAAAAACCAGCAGTGTTCCTCCGACAGGCCCCTGTCAGCGCATTCATTCATTAGACAAATATTTCACTGAGCGCGTGTTACAGGCCGTTCCCCGTCCCAGGACACAGGCTGGTCCTGCAAAGCGCACATCCTACTGAGGGCTGACATAAGAATTTCACGCTTCTGAGTGGGTGATGTGACAATGGCGGCAGCGAGGCAAACCGCGGGAGTCTGGCGTCCGCATGGGGCCTGTCACACGGCAGGAGGCACGCAGGAAGCGGGCAGCCAGCCACGAGCCCACAGGAGGAGGCCCGCGTGCACTCATCAAAGCTCACCCTGTGCACTTCGTGGGGAAAGGGCGGGAAGGGGAGGGTAGTTTGAAAACAGAGTTACAGATCTTGTTTACTTTGATCCAAACAGACTGCAGAGCAGGTACTTCAGGGACTTGGCTCTGGAGGTTTGTACAGCCTGCAGACTGGTTCTTCCCCAAGGACCAGCACACCCTCGCCCTCCTGCCTTGGGGTAAAAACTTCAGAGAAAGCCGCCTTCCGCAGCAGTGCCAGGTCCTGCTCTTTCTCCCCATTCAAAAATCCCAAGAAGCCTGAAATGCCACCAGAAGATGGAGCCCTGCCTCCTTTATTTTTTTATTCTTTTTTTTTTTTTTTTTTTTTTTTTTTTTTTTTTTTTTTTCAGGGAGTAAAAATATGTCTTTTATTGTTAGACG